CACCCTCCCCCCGCCCCGCCCTGCCGCAGGAGACATTGGTTGTGGGCTGGGGCCCAGGTTCCCAGCCACTTTCTCTCAATGGCAGGAACGACCCTCCTGGAGCTGGGCCTCCCTGGCCCCACCCTGTCATCCAAAACACAGGAGTCTTGTTGCTGTAGCAGCTGCTAACCTGACTGCCCCACCCCTTTTTAAAAAAAGAAATATATCATACGCCTCCCTAGCTGGTTTGGCTCCGTGGATAGAGCATCGGCACGAGGACTGAAGGGTCCCGGGTTCGATTCCAGTCCAGGGCATACCCGTCGGTTGCAGGCTCTAACCCCAGCCTGGTCCGGGGCATGTGCAGGAGGCAACCAATTGATGTGTCTCTCTCACACAGATGTTTCTCTCTCTCTCGATGGATAACCTTCTAGTATTAAGAAAGAAGAAATTTCATATACTACTTATGGGAGAATAAATTGGCATAATCTTTTTTTGGATGACAGTATGGTTGTGTATAAATTTAAAGTGTGTAGATGGCCCTAACTAGTTTGGCTCAGTGGATGGGGTGCCGGTCTATGGACTGAAGGGTCCCAGGTTCGATTCCAGTCAAGGGCACATGCCTGGGTTGTGGGCTCAATCCCCAGTAGAGGGTGTGTAGGAGTCAGCCGATCAATGATTCTCTCTCATCATTGATGTTTCTATCTCTCTCTCCCTTCCTCTCTGAAATCAATAAAAATCTATTAAAGAAGAAGAAGATACAACGAAGAGAAGCAGCCCTCAGGCCCGAGGGGCAGCCCTCCCTGCAGGTCAGCCCGAGAGGCGGCAGCTCAGGGGCTAACCAGCAGGGCAGCTCCCTGCTTGCGGGGACTCCTAACGCTATTGCTAGCTCTGCCTGTTTAATGCGACCTAAGTCTGTTACGACGTTTCGCTGCGAGTGTGAGCCATGCCTACTCTGTGGTGGGTTAGGCAGACCTTGCCACTTGGGAAACATCTGTCTTTTCCTAGACTTTTTCCTTACAGCAGCGGGGGGCTTAGTGCCGGAGCGGTCCCTCCACTGCCGGCCAATTCCAGTCCTCCCCTGTGATGCCTGAGGTTTGTGTCGACTGAGAATGTGCCATGAACGCAGCTCTGCTCATTTCTTTTCTTTCTTTCTTTTTTTTTCATTGCCTTAGTTAATTCAACAACCCAGCGATGTTGGGACTATGTCTATCCTCAATCAACAAATGAGAGAAATAGGATCAGAGAGGGTAAGTGACTTGCCCAAAGTCACTCAGCGAGCTCAGGCTGGGGCTGAGCTCTGAACCCCTGGTGCTCCCAAAGATCCCAGTCTACTTTCCAGCCTGGCCTACCCCCTGCGTCCACCTCGCTCCTCCCTCAGCGACACTGAACAGACAGGAAAGCTTGTCTGTGCTGTTAGAAGTAGCCGGAAGGTCAAAGCTGGTTCCCCGGAGGATGAGATCAAGCCGGTTTACACCAGATTACATTTTCATCGACTGGCACATGTCTCACAAGGGACAAAGGCCAGACCACTCCCAGCAGAGTTAATGGCATTTCCCAAAAACAGCTCTGGTGGCCTGTACTCTCTGTCCTGTACCTGCCAGCCCAGCGATAAGGTGGCCTCACCTCCAGCTGCCAGGTGTGTCTGCGGTAGGTGTGTCCCTGGCAGTCCTTTCGAAGAGACCCCGAAGGGAGGTTGGGGCTTTGCCGAGGGGCAGAGACAGGCAGGGCAGGAGACAGCTTCCAAAGACAGAGGCTAGTGTATGCACCTCCTGATTATCCATGATCCATTTCTCCCCCTGCCCCCCCACACCCTGCATCTTCCGAGACAACATTCTGAGAAACCCACTTGGAAATTGTAGCTGTTATGGTTTGGCCAGCGACCCGGGCGGTGAAAGGATCCACTTGCGAGGCTGTCGGACCGAGGACGCAGGTGTGTTTGGAATAACAGAGCACTTAAAGCAACAAGAAACCGTTATAAAAATAAAAAAAAATACTGTTGAGCCCTAGTTTGTTTGGCTCAGTGGATCGGGCGTCGGCCCGTGGACCGAAGGGTCCCGGGTTCGATTCCAGTCCAGGGCATACCCGTCGGTTGCAGGCTCTAACCCCAGCCTGGTCCGGGGCATGTGCAGGAGGCAACCAATTGATGTGTCTCTCTCACACAGATGTTTCTCTCTCTCTCCTTCCATTCCACTCTCTCTCTAAAAAAAAAAAAAAAAGAGGAAAGAAAAGAAATATATAATACACCAAGAGTTTGTGTATAACCTATGCACAGTTTGAAGAATAGGAAAAATCCCAACATACTAGTAGATTTAAGAAGTCCTAGACTAGTACCTTTAAAACCCTCACATGACTCTCCTCCAATACATACTTTCCTCCCCGCAAAACTCATGATCCTTCAATTTGTATTAATCATGTCCTCGGTTTTTCTTTGTTATATAATCCATTGTTTGTGGGTATCTCCCAACAATGCATTGCGGACATATTAGATGGAGTCCATTGAGTAGGTGACTCACCGTTCTGCAGGGCTCCGTCCCTTTCCTCTCCACTCACCCTGCGGGTGAGCTCAGGGGAGCCCTCTTACCAATATGGATCTCTTGAAGCGAGGGCTGGCTCTCTTCCATGACCTCAGAAAACTCTAAGCCAAGCTAGCAATCATAGGTCAGGAGCAGGTAGTCCTGGAAGGCTCCCTGGAGGAGGGAGAACTGAAGCTGGGAAGGAATGGGGTAGATAGAAAAAGGAGAAGGAAGGGAATTTGGGGGGAGAAAGAACAGTGGAAACCAAAGCACAGCATTACCCTGAAAGCAAGTTCATAGCCAGGCTCGTTCGGGGCATCTGTTGGGAGACAGCGGGGTGAGGGAGCTGCTGAGTTTAGAGGGGCCACGGCTAGCGCCGCCCTGCTCTGGGCGGTGGGGAGGAGAGCAGTTAGCATCACTCCCTTCAGCCACACGCACCATGGCCAGGCTTTCTCTAGGTTCAGCGACCCCTCAGATGAACCAGGACAGCCCGGCGAGGTTGAGGCAACACGCAGTCCCAACGTCTTGCTTCTCAGCCAGGCAGAGTCCGCTGCAGTCCGGTGGCTTTCAGGAAACACTGCCCTCTGGGCGGTGACGCACTGACCCAGACCGGGAGCTCCCCCGGTCTTGAGCTCTGAGTTGGCAAAATGCAGCCCCAGAAGGCATGGAGCGATGTGATGATAACCTCCATGCAAGGGCCGAAGGCTGCGTGTCGGGCCTGCGTTTGTGTTAGGGTTCTGAGCTGCGTCCTGCCTGGTAAGGAAGCTTTACCGGGATACAGCTGTGCCATGTGTTGGCGTGTGTCCGCGGTTGCTCTCATGCCCCAGCCGGGCCCGGGCTGCGACGTGGATCACAAAGCCCCGGCGCCCGGGGAACGTGCCCGCAGGCCAGGCTCCCGGCCCGGAGCCATGCACTCCGCTGGCTCGCTGCACCCTGTCTGGAGGGACCACGTGGGGGCTCCTGACCACCCTCCGCACGCGGCCCGGGTACGAGAACAGCAGCGGTGTCTAAACCTGGGGCGCTCCCTCCCCAGGGCGATGCGTGAGCCTGTTGTCACTCGCTCATCTCTGCCTGGCTTGTCCCTGCATCTCAGCTCCTCCTCATCTCTGCCTGGCTTGTCCCTGCATCTCAGCTCCTGGAGGGAATGAACGCAGAGAGGCTGCTGCCGAGGGCAGATGTGTCCGAGGTGCTTCTCGAGGTTTCAGAAGTCACCATGGTGGGCCTGAGCCGTGGTGCTGGCAGCGCACACGCCCGGGGCAGTGTTCCCAGAGAGAGGAAGGAAGTAGCCACCGGGAAGGGGAGCGCTGGCCTGTACACAGCAGAGTCGGAAACCACCAGAATGTGCCTCGTCACCGCCAGCGCCCGTGCTCCGGGCCCCAGAGCCCTGAGAGCACATCGGTGTCCTGCCCTCGGGGCGCTCCCAGCCAGAGCTGCCCCGCTGCCCCGCTTGTGGACGGAGCCTGGTCATCGGAAGGGATGCGGGAGGCAGGGTGTCTGCCGGGCCGAAGGGGCACCGGCGCCGGGCCCACCTGAGTGCTCTCGGCGGCGTGAAGGTTGAGGCCCAAAAGGATCCAGAGACAGGAGATGGAGAGTCAAGGGCTTGTTGAAAATGACCCTAATTCAGACAAGGAGCCGCTGGAGAGGAAGTGGGTAGGAGAAGGAAGGCAGATTACACTGGGAGAGAGACGAGATAAGGTGCGGGGCGGGGTGGGGGGGGGGGGGGGGAGCCCCAGGCAGGTCCTTTGTCTCTGGAGCCTCTGTGACTGGCCTGGCGCAGGGGCAGGCTTTCCCGGTGCCAGTGACGGCTGGCAGGACAGGCAATCCGGTCGGACAGACCTGGGACTGTGAACTCAGATGAACCTCAGGCAAGTTCCCGCTCCCAGCGCCTCCTTAAGTTTCCCACCTGGGAAATGGGGACAACGATACTACTTCCCTCTTAGGGTTATTTTGAAGATTAAATGAGATGAAGCATTTAAAAGTGCTTGGATGGAGTCATTGCTCAAAAATAATTATTCTTGCCCTAGCTGGTGTGGCTCAGTGGATAGAGCATGGGCCTGCGGACTGAAGGGTCCCGGGATGGATTCCAGTCAGGGCACAGGTCCGGGTTGCAGTGTGGGGCATGCAGGAGGCAGCCGTTCAATGATCCTCTCTCATCATTGATGTTTCTCTCTCTCCCTCTCCGAAATAAATAAATAAATAGATAAATAAATACAAGTGAGCGTTTATTGAGCACCTGCTGTGTGCCGGGACTTGTGCTAGGGCTCTGTCTGTGTCTAACTGAGTGCTCAAGCACTCCTTGCCGGTCTCAGCTTCACTTATAGGTGAGAGGACTGAGCTTAGAGAGATGAGGTGCTTTTCCCAAGAGGCACAGGCCATAGGAAAGAGCTGGTTTGAACCCCCTTCTCTGTGGCTCCAGAACTTTGTACGCCGTCTGCCTGTGGAGGCTGGGGAGAGCCTGCACGTCCGTACCAACTGAGTCCTGCAGGAAAGGACTCATTCGCTGAGCGCGATGGAGGGCCCCGCTCGCAGAGGTGGCTTCCTGGACCAGGTGGGGTTTCGCTGAGCGGGAGTCACCCGGGCACACAGGAGTGGGAGGGGCACACGGGGAGGGATTTTCGCGAGCAAACAGGTGAGCAGGACTGATGCCTGCCTTTGGGGCGCAAGCGGGTTGTGGGGAAGCAGAGGGAAGAAAGGGTGTGGGGATGAAGCGTCTGTTTTGTGTAAGGTAATAGGGAGCCATGGGAGGTATGTGGGCGAGGGAGGACTGTGCGGACTCTGCATATTAGGAGTCAGCCAGAGAGTGACAACTAGAACGACGAGAGGGGAGAGGAAAGGGGAAAGGAGGCAGGAAAGCCAGAGAGGAAGCGAATGGAGCTGCCAGACCTCCTTTCATATCCAGATTTCATCGCTGGCTATAAAAGATAACAGCACACAAGCAAGCAGTATAATACACACACCTCGGGCGTGTTAGGAAGATCTAAGGTCCCTCGTTCACCGTCAGGAGCGTCTGTTTATGGCTCTGCGGGCGCCCTGCGCAGCCTTTGAAGTGCCCTAAGGAGGAGAGTAGCCACCACTTAACTAGACGAGCAATTAGCTCAGGGATAAGTGTCACAGCAGATAAAACCCCGGAAGCGCTGGTGGGCAGTGGGCAGTGGCAGGGCCACCATTAGTGTGTGGGGGACACTTGTACCCACCTGCTGAGAACCTGCTCCAACCCCGGTGGCCGCCGTCCTCCTTTCTCATCGCCCTTTGGATCCTGTGCCGGGAAGAGCTGGTGACTGACTGACCTCAGCTCCAGTATCAGAGGGAGGGAGAGAGAGAGAGAGAGAGAGAGAGAGAGAGAGAGAGAGAGGAACATGAATGATGAGAGGGAATCACGGACCGGCTGCCCCCTGCACGCCCCCTACTGGGGATGGAGCCCACAACCCGGGCCTGTGCCCTGACCGGAACCGAACCGTGACCTCCTGGTTCATAGGTCGATGCTCAACCCCTGAGCCACGCTGGCCGGGCTCTGTGGCTTTCTCCTGCCAGCCGGAGCGATGTGATGATAACCTCCATGCAAGGGCCGAAGGCTGCGTGTCGGGCCTGCGTTTGTGTTAGGGTTCTGAGCTGCGTCCTGGAGCTGGTTTCTCCGCTTCCACGGCTTGAGAAAACAGCCTACTCTGCAAAGGAAGGAAGGCAAAGCAGCAGAACGGGGTTTCCCAAAGCCAGGCCCAGGGCGAGGAGCCTGGGGTTCCCGGGCTCTGACCCTGGCTGCCACTCCCCCGGCTGGGGCAAGTCCCGTCCCCTCTCCAGCCACGTTCTCCTCCTCCTGGGGAGGGGGCTGGGCTGACCTTCAGGTTTCTTCCAGCCCCGAAGCGAAGCGCCAGCCAGGACACCAGTAGTGGATCCCCTGGCAGAGGGAATTCATTCTCCTTTTCTCACTTTGATGGTTTAAATAACCGCAGCCGAGCATGTGAGAGCCGAGTGAGGGCTGTCGCCATGCGGCCTCTCCCGCGTCCTGGCTTCTCTGGGCAGCAGGAGGAAGATCTGGGCTATTTGCCGACCGGGTGCGGACCCGAGAAGGGCAGCCAGGCCGCCGATCTGTACCTACTGGGCTGCCATGTTCGTGGTGCACGTTCCGACCAACTTTATCATGCGGAGTGCGGGGCTGAGCTCAAAACCAAGGGCAGGGCAGTCAATGAAGGCAGAAGCGACTGTTGGTACAGAAAGGATGGACAGGGTCTGGCACTTGCTAGGAACAACCTGGGACTAAACTAAGGCAAAAAGAACGGCCTAGCCCGGCCAGTGTGGCTCTACTGTTGAGCGTCAACTCAGGAACCAAGAGGTCTCGGGTTTGATTCCTGCTCAGGGCACATGCCCGGATCTTGGGCTTGATCCTCAGCAGGGGTCACGCAGGAGGCAGCCAATAGATGTTTTTACCTCACTGATGTTTCTATCTCTCCCTCTCTTTTTTTAAAAAAAAAAATATTTAAAAAATGGCCTAATTATTTTTTAAATATGTTATTATTGATTGGCTGCCTCCTGCACACCCCCTACTGGCGTTGAGCTCACAACCCAGGCATGTGCCCTGACCAGGAATCGAACCTGAGACCTCTTGGTTCCTGGGTCAACGCTCAACCACTGAGCAACACCGGCCGGCCTCTAATTCTTTAAACTGGGCCCTTGAGTAGGATTCATGTGAGGCACCTGTCTGACACTGAGAGCCGGGAAGGTTACCCATCAGGCGCCTAGCCTCCTCGCCCTGGGCTCCGGCTACAAGTAAACATTGTTTTCTTGGGGGTCTTCACCTGAAAAGTAGATGAAGCGGCTACAAACCCGGCTGAAGTCTGTAGCTGTTGGAACAGTTCTCCTTTGTTCGCAGCCCACAGCTGAGGAGGATGTGAATGGTGAGAAGCACAACATGGAAGCCCGCGTGCCGTTTCCTGCAGGACGAGCTCAGTGTCCTCACAGGACCGCAGGCTGCCAGAGGAGCCCTGCGCAGGGTCCCGGGGCGTGTCCGTGTTGGCACGTGGGAGCGGGCTCCTCCGTGGGCGTCAGCCTGGCCCACAGCCCCGAGCGGGAGAGGACATCCTCAGTGGTGGTGTTGGCTTTAACCCCCGGACGCCAGGGGCCTGTGAGAGGGATCAGGGCCCGGGGTTGCTGACGGGGCTCTGTCTG